CTATTGAGACGATTAGGTAGCAAAGTAGAATGTTCTGTGATTAAGAATCGTAGTCGTTGTGTTTCGGATTTATATCGCGCATCTAATTGCTATTATCCTATAAATAAAGCTTTTTCCAGATGGTGCATTATGATATCTAGAAACCTCTAAACGCTTTCTTGAAGAGACTAGGATATGTTTATTTTTTCGAGTAGGAGACGATCTTTTTACCCAGAAAGCTCTCCGGATGTCCGCTTTAACTTTGTAATTCAAAGATAACGTTGAGTTGCTTACTTAGGTAGTAGCAAGAGGAGATTACCTTCAGGGGGAACTACTTTAAGTTAGCTTTAGATAATGCGTCACAGAAGTAAGCAGTGTATGTTTATAGTGTCTAAATATATTAAACATTGTAAAGCTGGTCAAATCGTAGTTCTCACATATGAATTAGTTCTAAATAATTAGATGCATAAAGGCGTGAGTTATTTAACGTTCATTAAGTAGATATGCAAACACCGCACTTTTTGATCATCGAAATGATGGGTATTTGATAACACCACATGATTCAACGGCATATTAGAAATAGATGAAAATTGTTTCTTTGCTCACTGTTAAGTGAACAGTCTATTTGGTGATGTCACTGCATATTAACAAATTAGTGAAGTAGCTATCAAACCTAAGTTATTACATTTACTTGTACTTCATACTTGGCGTTTAACAGTATGCAGACTTGCAACTGGCTAGATAAGGCAATTTTAGCGTATCGAACAGTACAGAATTATTACTCAGCTTGCTAAATCCTACTTAGTTTTAACAATGTGCTACTGTACGGAAACAGACACGAAATCTTACGAAGGGCTAAGGTGTCAGTCTCATAATACTATAGTAAATCTCCATCCCACTAACTAAGCTTAACATGCATTGATCCGAATTCACTAATTACAAGAGCACATAGTATAGCGACGTACTGAAAAAGTCTAGAGGAAGTAGAATTGAAGAGTATATTAAACACTTCATTAATTTACAAAAGAAAATTCCGATGAAGAGTATCAACGTTAGTTTGACCGAATGATATTTCCGCTGATTTCATATTCGACAACCTCCGTTTACCTGAAAAAAATAAAGCACATGTAAGAACTAGCACAACATGAAGTTATGAAATATAATTCTACATATTAGCACACACTATGAATACACTGATTCTGTTAATACTAAGTAATATCTCATGCAAATAAATGTTATTGTAGTTTACAGCTGGTTTTTATATTGACACCATAATCGTCAATAGACCTCATATGTTTACCAGTATTAAAGGATTATATGCAAATATCAAGACAATCTTTGGAACTTCCATACTGTTGAGGCGCCATACTCTCATCAGCCTTACTTGCAGATCAACTTCACACTAAATACGTTTACATTAAATGAAGTATTGCAAATGTGTAACTTAGAAATTGATCCATAATCTCAGTAATGTCTAATGAGCATAGTTTTATGAATCCTACAGAAATTATATTCTCACATTAAGGAATCTGTAGCCATCAAATATAAGCTGAACATGCTTCAACTCTACACAGCTATGCACAGTGTTAGCAGCATAGAGAAACACTTGAAATATTGTAAGATACGCAGACCTGTTATGTTGATGAGGATAACAATGGCATATAATGCAACCTAAACTTTCAATCGTGAGACTGCATCTCAGGAAAAATTCATCACCACTATTTGTAATCAAAAACATTGCAGCATTAAGTTTACAGTGCTAGTGGGAATGGCATAACAGACAGTAGATTGACAGTAATAGAGCTGACTAGATTCAGTTCTCATAATTGACACAATCCATGTGTATAATTATACTATACACTTAATTAATGCACTAAGTGACACAGTAAGGAAATTTAAACGAGTGATTGCCTTCTCCACTGCACTGCACTTGCAATAATCATGACAACCACCTACGTTTGCTAGCCAAGTAGTCAGCTTAGCAGTGGCACAATATTAATAAAGTTGAGATATTTTCTATGCATTGACTCTACATAACTAATATTACGCTACACCAAACAGTGCAAATATACATGAAATACACTTAGAAATAACCTCTTAACTTACAATAATTCCTATCCAAACACACATAAGGTGAGACACATCTACATGATTACTTCTATTCCCACAGAATGTTCTGTTAGCATTTACAGGTGATTTCCAAGTACTGATAGAATTCTTTTGTCAAAAAGGACTGTCCTTTACACGGAAATAGGCTGAATTAATATCCTGAGACGTGAAGTCTCCATTGAATGATACAATGCCGAAAGGTGCAGCATCTAAATAAAGTAGACTATTTGTGTAGATGACATTTCCCTTCAACTATCCTATCTTTCTCATTATAGCGATATTTTGCTACAGTTCGCCCGAAACACTGACCGATGCAACCAATATGCTAGAGGGAGTCGCAGTCAGATTACATAACGTGGACACCAAAATAACTGGCCAGAAAATGGTAATTCCCATCAATCCAGATAAGATTTAGCAAACTTTTATTAAAAATTATTGACAAAAAGATTTTCCAAGTGAAATTTTAACAGCTGTTCTAGAATGTGATATTTAACGTCTACCCACTGCTGATTATGCATGGAAGATCGTTAGACAAGCTATTTAGTTCTTGCGGCATATTAGCAAACGGCTGAAAAGTTGTGACAACGTTGGCAATGCCTTTAATAGACCGTCCAGTGGTACCATTCATCAGTCTTTTTCGGCAGACATCTACGAGTAGATCATGATAGTCGAGTAGGTCGGTGCCAATGATGGGCGCTGTCATGCCAGCAAATAGAAAAATCCACTGAATAGGTTTGCGCAAACCTAAGTATAGATAGACGTATTTCCTCCGTAAGGTCTCAATAGATTCTTAATTCGCAGCCTGTATGTTGAGGGTAGGTTCTTTCTGTTGATTTGCCCCTGTAGCAGAAAGAAGGCAGACTTCGGCTCCTGCGTCAGTCAAGTACCGGGTCTGGTTGACTACATCATGGATGTATAGTAGGCGACTACTGCCGCCGGTGCGTTTTCCCATAGTCTTGCGAAAATTGCAAGGTTTTCCGCAACATTTTGCATCATGGCCATAGTCATTATTGTGCCAGCACCAACCAGGGTTTGTAAGTGTAAATGGTTTGGACTTAGACCTACCACATGAGTTTCGCTGTTAAGCGGAATTCGATCGATGGCATTAGGAAATAGCTTAAGTGGTTACCTAACGAAGTTGCACAACTCTATCACTGCAGTATCCTCATTCGAAGACTGTTTAACAATCGAGCACATTTCCATGACTGTTGTGTTATTTCTAGAATTTCATCGGCAAAAGTAACGAAGTCGTCTATGATTACACCTTGAATTGCTACAAGCACATCCTGTACTGACTGTGGTGGTTTGGATAAGAACAGCTCTCTGGAGAATCCTCAATCGAACTGAAGTTGGCCAATAACTTCCCGCATTCTCGTTAGCATGTTCACAGCCGACCGATCACCCAACTCGACGCTACAAAATAGTTAGTCAAGACGCTGGTACTCCGTGAGGTTGTTTCCCTATAAGAGGGTTGCTTTAAGCACCTCATACGGATTGCTCATCTATGGGCTTGATGTATGCACAGCCGCGTATTTGCTTTATTCCCGCGGTAGGGCGTGGACAACTGCAAGGAACTGTGAACGTTGGTCAGTGGTCCCATTGTGGTGAGAGATGTCTACTAGCCAAGTGGTGGACAGTAATTGAGGTCAATGTTTATGTATCAAATATTAGTCATGTTGTGGTGAGAGATGGTTGCTGGCCAAATTGGTTGACAGTAATTGAGGTCAAAGGTCAAGGTGGACAGGCGGTTACAGTTAACATATAGATGAACTGACATGGCCACAAGAGATGCAAGGTTAACCTTGTGTGAGAAACAACCAATCAACAGACTGTATTTTCTACTAACATTGACCTACAATAATGTACATAAAAATCTATAAATACGTGTTGATTTTTTGTAATAAACGATCTGTTGCCTGGCCCTTGTCTTCTGTTGTTACACCATGTTCACTGAAATCAGACTCGGCTGTCTGAAGCAATGATCCACATTATTTGGCGAAAATGGCACGAGCTGAACAGCTTGTTTAGTTAGTCGGGTACGGACGACCTAAGCTGTATGGTCACTCATGGAGAAATATACACTTCGAAAATAGTACAAGAACTAATACAAAGCGGGACAAACTCACTTCATTTGTCTGCCTGTGTACCAGAGATGAACTTCGTAATAGAGCGCGCCAGTTTAGAGGCTAAATATATTGATATTCATGGATGGTACGAAGTATACAAACGCAAGATCTTGTACCCACAACTTCTATAATATTCGTTCCGCTTTGACCAAAGGAAAAGGAAAACACCAGAATTGATCGTCCAAATTACGAAGTATATTTCGGGACCGTATCGGAGTGCGAGATGTTCATCTGATTAGCCAGGGTTCGTTCACGAAACGAACGTAACACGACGGCATGCCAAATGGCGTGGACGCTTAACCATAAGTATTCAGCTAAACAAGGTGACTTAAACGGTGGGGGTCAGCGTCCAATGTTTAGTGATGAATACTGTGACTAACAATTCTGAAGAATTACCTGCAACTACACTGTCTATTCAACCACATCGGACGCCTAATGAGTAAAAGCACCAACTTCACTCATCGTGGCAACGCAGACTCAGCACAGCACATACTACGAACCACATATAATCAATCCCTTTGGGGTCAGTCACACCTAAGGCAGTCGAGTAGCGGGACGAACTATGCAGAAGTTTACTGAAAACCAGGAACCTTTTATTCACAGCCAAGAAGCAAGCAGAAAGAAATCAAATTGGTTTACTGTAGCTGATATAATAAAGACTGGATTTTGGATCCAAGGCCACCTCAAGGCTATAGATTGTGCAGTTTCAAACTTTTATTTCCTGGGATTTCTGAGCCAACCTACGGTTCCAGAAAGCGAAATTAGGAGGGTTACCTTATCACTGCAATGAAATTGGCTTTTGTATGCTCACTTTAACTTCCTTGATGCAACGTATTTCTATAACAGGTAACAGGATCTAACAAGGGTATTGGATATAGCATTGTTGAACAACTTGCAAAATTTTACAAAGATACAGGAGATTGGGATATTTATTTGACAGGTATGTAAATATTTCACTGTCAAATTTGGTAGCGAGAAACGTCGAACTTGGTCTGGAGGCTGTGAAAAAGCTTAGTAGCAAGGGCCTAGATGTCAAATTTCACCAATTAGATATAACAGAACCAGAGAGTCGTAAAAGTTTCCTTGAATTCGTACGGAAAAATTATCCTAGTGGTATAAACATTGCGGTGAATAATGCGGCTATCGCGTACAAGGTAGTTTCAGAAAAGGATTTACCTACATCTTTAGGAAAACTCACCGGTTCCATTCGGTGAACAGGCACGGGTTACAATAAATACTAACTTCACATGCACTGTTGACTTTATTGAAGAGACTATCCCTTTATTGGCTGAAAATGCCAGGTATTGTGCATAAGTAAGATTTATTCTCACTCTCTAGAGTTGTCAACGTATCTAGTTCTGTTTCATTGTCCAGTCTTAAGAAACTAAGCGATGAATTGTATCACAAATTTGTTGGTCCGATGAATATTTCAGAGCTGAGAGGACTTATGGCCGAGTTCGTAAAGTAAGTTTCGCGACTTGAATCACCATTTAAGGTAAACATTCATATATAAGGGATGTTAATAGATTAAAATTTGCATTTGGGTCAAAAAATCAACAAGCAGAATTCGCGGTATGAAATTGCAAAATGAGATGATCAGAAGAATGGAGAGTGTGTATAAGCGTCTGCGAAAGGCTTGCGTACTTTAACAGGTATTTGGACTGAGTCTTTTCATTCTTTATCTGCAAAGACTGACTTGGCTTTCTCACCTATAAAGCGAAAATTCGCGGTAAAAGTTCAGAAAACCTACATAATCAAATGAGGCATAGAAGAATTATTGGCGCTAGATAACTAGCCTATGAAATATATCAGGAAGTTCAGAAAACTCAACTAGATTATCGGAATTTAGCTATGTGTAAAGTGACTAGCTCAAAAATAACCCTACATGGAAGAAAACCTGGCTACTGTGATGCTTGCTGTATGATACTGTAGGGGCAGAGCTCCAACTGTGTAGATAATATAGATGGTTGAAGGGAGAGGTTGGTCACTGAGTCCTTGTTGATCTCACCTACAGCTAACACATCCAGTAGAACAATGCAAGACTTACATCAGAGACGTGGGGAATGTTACAATAGAAAGGATAAGAAATAATGGGCCTGCATCTGACTCATCTGATTACATTGCTTCTTATGGTGAGATGTGCGCACTGCTCAGCAGCTCACTTTGTCCATTATGATTGTGAGACCTGGCCGTTGAAATCTGAAGACATGAAAAAGTTAATTATCTTTGACCACAGGTGTCTTCGATCAATCTCGGACTAATTGGTATGATGAAGTGTGCAATAAACAAGGGTAGATATTGGAAGAAAGTTAGTTGATTAAGATTGTTGGGACATATGTTACGCTCTTTGCACTACATTAATGTAGTTCAAAGTTGATTACTGTATAGGAACTCTCTCATCAGAACTTTCTGCATATTATCTAAACGGAACACTGGTCTAGAGAAAACACCTATCGTGCCTCACTTATTTTAGTGTTAGTTCATCAACAGTATTAGTTCTCAATGTGAATTAGATCAATTTGTCTTTATCCCGACCGAAGTCGTATGAAGTTCTGATATCCTACTGGAGTTATTAATAATTAATTAAAAATGCCCATTAAAATTTTCAGAAGAATGGGTACTGAACAAAGAGTACTCTTTTCGATAACTTCATCATTAGGCTCTACAGTTATATATACATTATAGTGAATGAATTAGCGTTATGAACAACATTAATGTTTAAATAACATCAAATCAGTAATATTGATAGATTACAGCTCAATAGCATCAACATAAATAAGCTGGATGTCAGAAAAATTAGAAGAGATAATATTACAAATTCTACTTAAGGTCAGGGCATTAGAAGTGGCTGGACTTGCTTCTTTTGAACACAAAGCACTAGTTGTTTGAGGGGAATTGCAATAGCCTCTGCTGTTTGGAGCATACAGTGTTTCGATGATTTTAATAATTTCACGTAAGAGTAGTCTTCGTGCATGATTTAAACGGCGAAGTTTATAAAGAAGATATTCTTAGTAGTTGTAACCTGTGACTAGGTATTTTGCGTTCACCTAAAGTTAATATTCCCATTCTTCTCGTGACACATCACCTGATATCCGAATTGTACTGAGCTTGTATTTCTTAATGAGTGATAAATAAATAATAACGTCTTCCCTTATGCTGTGTGAAGTATTGTCTTTCTCTGACCATTCACCAAGATAATTGAAATTTGCTTCCACAAGATAAGTCTTGAGTTTTGTGTTGTAGTAAAGTCATAACAAACACGTTATTTAGTCATTGTACGACTCTGTCTGGTACTCATTCGGTCTCATAAATCTCAACGTGTCCCACGTATTAATTTGATTTTCAACTTTTTCACATCACTTGTTCATGTTGTGATACGTGCGCATTTTAAGTCTTCTCCCCCTTGTGATCCTGTTCTTTTTTCACTGGTCAATAGGTGTGCTGAGGATGGAACTCACTCTGCAAAAGGTTGGCCTTCGACTGCTTATGGAGTATCCAAACTAGGCCTAACGAAAGCTTCCTTCATTTTCGGAGAGATGTTGAAAGATGATTCCAGAAAAATTGTGATGAATTCAGTTAGTTAACCTCTTAATACTTTGTCGTTTTCGCATTTACTTTAAATTAATTTCATGTTTATGAAACTGGTGCTTTGTATTGAAACAAGACATAATCGGTAGTTAGTAGCTGTAGTACGCTGCAGTGAATAACTTTTCTCCTTTAAAAACACAATATAAATTGAAAGTTATTGTACCACTGTTATATATGCAGTTGTATGTGAATGCTTCTATGCATGTAAGTCAGTTGCTCACCTTTGTGATCCAGGTTGTGATTGGTTTTATTGGTAGTTCTGTCATCACTATGATGCTCTAGAGTAACACGAAATGATTCATCAGTGAATTACCTGCAGAGTTGAATTTGACCAGTAATTCCTGGTCGTTCATGTATCAGGTGCTTTTAATTTATTATTATGTGCATTTAATGTTGTAAAAACAGGAGTCTTATTTTTCAACATTTGTACTGTATACGTTGATAATAATAATAATGATAATAATTTGCTTTATTCTAGAAACAGTACTAGTGGTACAGTGTGGAATTTTCAGCACATATCTACAATATTTGCATCTAATTTTACCGACATTTAAAATAAGTATTAAACAAAAAAAAATAAATCTGAAGACACCAACAGCAAAAAAAAACAGGATAAACACAAAATAATTATAAATGCGAAAAAGTACCCAAGTCTACCAAGGTCTAATGCAGTGTTTGTGGTGGTAGTGTGAGTAATCCTGAATAATACAAAATTTTTTAAGGTGGTGACTACGGCGTTCACAACCAACGATTGTCAGTTTAATATTACCGAAAAGTATAGAAAATAAGAAAAAACAACCACAAAACTAATAATTACATGATGGTTAATGACAGGACAATTTTGTAATACGCATAGTGCTAATGGAATCGGAACCAGTGGATACACAATAGGAACATAGTAAAGTACAAAAAAGAAAGCCAATGTTAATAATTTAGGTAGCTAAGTATGTTTGAGAAGGAGTTCACTATAGAATACAAAATAAGAGAAATAAAAGAGCCTAAAATTATGTTGTTAATAACAAAGCAAGTCATAGGTTTCACACTTAACATTGTCTCTGTCGCTTAGATCACGGGCCAAGTATGGTATCGTTGAGTTCCTGTACTTGGTTGTACGAGCGTAGATTATTTTATACTGATTTCTGGTTTTGCTTGATGAGATACAAGGCGAGAGTTGGGAATAGATGGGGTGTTGGGGGTCGGAGAGTATGGTTTTTGACCATTTTTCGCATGTATTCAGATGCCTATCAACTAAAGTAGTGACGAGCTGACTGAGATTTACACCACTAGTCCTACTGACTACCTTCAACATCATTCTCAAGATGGTTAACTGATGCTTAAATCAGCCTTGGATAGGTTTGCTGCAATAGATGAGAGTAATAAGGACGCAAAATATTCGCTACCACAATATGATTTGTAGTGCATAAATAATTCCTTCGAAATTTAGCCTAAACGACTACGTAATGGAGAAAGTTAACTCATGCACCCATTTTGTTTTCTCACGTCACCTATCGTAAATATGGAATGATAAAGTGGGAGTCACCTTATCTTTAATCTTGATCATATAGGAAAATTAAAAGGGCACATGGCCCTTGAAGTAGTTTTTAGTTGGATACTGTTCAGTGTGTCTTTTGTGAGGAATAGAATAGTCAATATTAACAAGAACAGTGTTGTGAGAAGTGTAGTAAGTATAAAAAGATGACTGAAACCTTATCACTTTGACTCATTGTCGGTGCCTATTTTTCAGGTGCTTCGACAAAGTTCTGAGTTTTGTTGTGCAATTCGTGGTACATATCTGCAGATATGTAAAAGACTCATGATTTTGTTCTCACTTTCGTGATACAGTTTATGTGTTACTCTTTCTATAGCTTGAATTAGATGTTCATTTGTGCCCGTATGAGTAAATACGATACTTTGTAATTGTAATCTTCGATGGCCGAATACCAGTTTGTATGAGACCGGAATCCGAAATTGCCATTCATGTTTTCGCAGTAAAGAGAAACAAACACTAACAGACATTTAAACAGTACAGTAATAGAAATAGTCAATCACTACAGTAAATCCGAAATGTATACGATATTCGTAGTGATAGTTTGTGCTGGACTTTGTAATATGCTACTGTGTTCACATAGTACTCATCCTAAGGTAACTAGGAAGTAGCTAAACCTCTGTACTATGTTATCTTCTCTATATTTCCACACACTGGAAATTCGTTACTTTATTCCTCTTTGTTTTGTGAATTTGACAGTGTTGCCCTGGTTATGTTGATACCGATATGACTAGTCACAAAGGAGTGAAAACAACTGATGAGGGTGAGTCTGTATGTAACAATTCACTTTCTGGAACGTTTTGTTTATCAAGAAGAAAAGTTAGTCTTAATAATTAATATTTATCTGGAGGCATGGTATCTCAGTATCTCAAATGAATTACAACACAGATTTTCGCACCACTGTGTACCGTTTTAAATTGAAACGACCCACAGAAGCTGACATGCAAAGTGTCAAAAGTGTTATAATTACTTTATCTGTAGTTGGGAAAACTCATATAGCCATGAAAACCTAAAGTGAACAACAGTGACAGTTACTGCTGAGACGAACTAACTTTCAAGTGGTCCTCTAACTGACTTCAGCTGATGATGAAATCCTCCATGCGAACTATCTTTCCTCAAGATTTTCTAGAGGTGTAAATACTGGGGCAATAATTTTGTTCGAGAACTGCGCTGACACCCAATGAGGAGGTGTTTGTAGTTAGTGTTCAAAGCCATTGGTAGTCACGAATGTAGAAATTCTAGTTAGCATTTTTCGGACTGGTTTGATTATAGACTCCCGAATCGAGTTTGGCTTATTTGCTGTAACTGCTTCATTGGTTACTGTGTATTG